TTATATAATATAATTTGTATAATATAATATTATTATTATTTATTTTTTTTATTTTGTATCTTGGTACAATTCACATAAAATTTAATTAATAATATATTTAATAATTTAAATAATATTATATTACATATGTATAATATATAATATTGTAATATAGTATTTATTTAATTATTATTTATTTATTTATTATTATTATAATATAATATAATATTTGCATAATATATTGTAATATATATATATAATGAAATTAAATATGAATATGATTGACAAGGTAGAGATAAGAAAAGTATTGAAACTGATAATAAGAGTGAAATATTACGTATAATAAGATTACATATATATAATATAATATATGGTGTCATAATAATGATAATAATCAAATTGATATTATCTTTTTTTTATCAAATATGTGCCATTGTGTTTTTTTTTTTTTTTTTCATTTTTTGTTTCGATTTTTTTCGATGATTGACGTATCTATAATATCCATACGAGTTTAATCGAATACGAGATCAAAAACGATATAAATGATATATCCTTAATTTTCTTTCTTTTCTCTTTTTTTTAATATAAATAAAAAAAAAAAAATAAAACAATCATTAACAAACAAACAAATTTAGTAATAATATATATTTTATATGCAATTTAATGCATTTATTATGCAACTTTTACAAATTACATATTATAATAAACTAAATATTAAACCCTTTTGTTATAAACAATTTATATAAGAATTCTATCAAAAAATAATCATAAACAAATTTACTCAAAACCCACAAAAAAATTTGTCCAAGTAACGCAACCCCTGTTGCAACCCTGACGAAAACCCTAACAAAAATATCAAACTAACTGATAAAAATAAATTATAAAAAAATAATAATAAAAGAAATAATAATAAAAATAAAAAAAATGGATCAACGAAATTGGCTCTCTCTCTCTAAAGAAAAAGATATTATTATATATATATATATATATATATATTATATTATAGTGTAAGATATAAAACGCAATAGAAAAGATCAAGTGCAGGGATATGCTAGGGGAAAAAGTTCACAGAAATAAAACTATAAAATGGTAACGGTTGTATCACCGTAATAACGTGAACATCCCCCTCCACCCCTTCCACCCCTACTCCTACCCTTTACCATTCACCTCGTTCTCTTTCAGGAAAGCCAGCACACTAACACATGAAAGTAATAGTTTAAAGTTTCATTTTAACGTGAGACTCGGCTCACGTTAGTATGAAATATTGAAAACAATTTGTAAAACGTAACGAAACTAACACTAACACGTTTTTGGGTAGTTATCATCGGAATTGCAAACCGAACCATTGATAACAACCCCGGTTTAAAGTTTCTCGTGTTTTTTCTTTTTTTTTGTTTTATTTTATTTTTTTTATTTTTTTACTTGTTTCTTTTTTTTTTTTGTTTCTTATATGAAATTAATTGGAAAAGTTAAATTTAGGATGATAATAATATAGGAAAGTTTTTATACTATAAATAAATTATCGCGCATACTATCGTGATTTGTTTAAATATATATATATATATATATAACTTATTAATAAACAATATTAGTAGTGGTAGTAGAAAAAAAAAAAGAAATAAAAATGAAATGTGAAATGGAATAAAATTTGTGTATAGAATTTTGTGGTAATTGATATTGATGAATTTTCATTTTTTTTTTTTTTTTTTTTGTTTAATTCAAACTTCCGATATTATTTTCAAAGGTAACCGTATATTTGACGTTTTATTTTCAAATATAATTGATCGAACATTCGAATAATGTTTAATACAATTTGGATATATTTTACATGTTTCTTTTTTTTTTTTTTTTTAATCTTTTTTGTTAAAATAAAACAAATTAAACCATTGTATCATAAATATAGTATCATGAATATAACAAAAAAAAAAATATTCATACGATAGTTTATTGTCAGAACAGAAGTAGCCCAATAATTCTTTCTTCCCCCTTTTTTTCTTTCTCTCTCTCTCTCTCTCTCTCTCTCTCTTATTCTCATACTTGAATTATATTTCATCCTTGTTTATTGTGTCCCTTATTTTTTGTCTATTTTTTTTTTTTTTTTACCATTATTCTCGCATCTAAAGTTTCACGATTCTACGAGGCGAAGAAAACAAACGTTCCAAGTGGTAAAATGAAAAGAAAAAATAAATATAGGACATGACAAACAAACAAACAAACAAATAAAACAGATAAGAAAAAAGAAAAGATAGAAAAGATAGAAAATTAAAGAATAATAAAATAAGAAAAATAAATAAAAATAAAATAAAAGACATCTAGACGTCTTCCGTAATTTTTTAACGACACGCAATTTCCTTGCTAACGAGCAACGCTTCGGTTCTTTCGAAGAAAAGGGGAAGAAAAAAAAAAAGAAGAAAAAAACAACAACAGAAAAAAAAGGTTCTCACGTAGGAAAGAGAAAAGGTTCAGGTTCGAAGGAATATATACAGGTAGAGAAGAGAAAGAGAAAATAACTTTAACACGGTTTATTTTGTACGATGGGTAAAGGCAAGTAACGAAGATGCTGAAAGATCATTACAACGTTCTGCTGCTGTTGCTACTGCTGCCTGTTTCTAAAGGTTCCAAAAGAAAAATTAATAAAAAGTCAAATGAGAGAGAAAAAAAATATATAAAGAAATAGAAAGACAAGATATTGATAAAATCAAATCAAATGAAATCAAAAATAAATGACGTACCATCTCTACGATGCAAACGGATTAGAAATATCCTAACTTTTGCATTTTTTAGCAAGAAAAACTAATACCAATAGATAACATACGATACATGTGCGAGTGTGTGTGTATTTGTTTTTTTTTTTAATCTAAAATAATCAATAACAGAAGGGGGACCATATTTTCAATGAAAAATGTGAAGAAGGAAAAAAAAAAAGGACTTCTGTATAAAAGATTTAACGTACAATATGTGTTTCTTTTCTATTTTATACGGTTTGTGCAGTATAGTTATATTTCTTCTTAAGGTCTTATGATAATAATTTTGGAAATGAACAAAAGATATATGAACAAAAAGACTATTTCAACCATATACAAAAGTAACCATGTGAATCTTGACATAATCCAGGTTCAATTTTTTACAGTAATATACATACTTATACATGGATAATGTGAAGATTGTTTACATGGTGATTGTGAACACATACCAAATATTTGGATGATTTTCTTATGCATAACTATTTTGGTCTATATACCAAAGTACCATGTAAATTCTGACATTATACAGTTTCGATCTTTCATGAAAATAATATACATACCTTTGTATGTATATAAATTTGTCGAAAACTTACCTGCACAACTATATCCATTCTTATGAAGTATGTATCCGTCCCTGCAGTCACATTCATACATCCCGTCGTGAAGTTCGTAACAAAGATGTTCGCAGGGTGATCTATGCCCGCATCTTCCTGAAACCAACAACGATCATTCGTTTTAAACAAACAAAAAACACAAAAAGTAGTATTTGCACACATTCGACGTCAAAAGAATAAACAAACATTCCTTATAAACATCTCTAATTCTTTTTTCTTTCTATTCGTTTTTTGTTTCTTTTGTTTTAAAAATGCTAAGGCAGAAAAAACTCTTACTTCTACAACTCGTAACTTTTAGAAAGTCCTTCGAGAATGGAAGAACAACTCTACCTTGAAATTCCATTCGCGCGAGATTGTATGCGTTAGGATGAAATCGAGGTGGTGGTGGTGGTGGTGGTGGTGGTGATGGTGTTGGTATCTTCAAAGAGGGAAGAAAACAAAAAGCTTGTTTTTCTCTACGAAAGCTTCGTTTCAATTCAAGAAGAAAAGGTCCTCGAAATGTACGAAAAACGCTACGAAACACAACTCGAATCTTTTCAATTCTATTTACATAACTTACATATGTAATATATACTATTTTTTTATTTTTTTTTTGTTTCTTGCGTATTTATTTTCATGAATTTTAATTCAATCATATTCTACGATTGGATCATTTTTTGAAGTTAACTTTCATTTAAAATAAAAATGTAATTATAGGGAAAAAAGTAGAGGTTATTGTGTGTGGACGCTTATAAGCGCTTAGAAATGACGAAGTGTTTTACTCGTTAAATTTTGATAACATTTATAATAAAATATTATAAAGTAATTGTAATAAAAAAAAAAACTGTAGGGTTATGTGTGGACGCTTATAAGCGGTCAGTTAAATTTTGAAAATATTAATATTAAAAATTTGGGCTCGAATTACAAAGAAGTAAAAAATATTATATTATATATAATAAAATTCCATTTTGTTTTTGATTAGTTTACAAAAATACACTCCTATTCAAAAGTTTTACAGTACAATATAATCTCCAAATCAATTATTATATTTCCTAATTATCAACTTGACAATATTCCACGTGATAAAAGATGATTGGACGAATAAAATACCATACATACCATAAAACCAAACAAACAACCCCAATACATGTATAATATTATTAATCATAATATTAGATTGTTCAATAAGTAAGTGTATCAAACGTTAATGCATTAAAAAAAAACTCATACACACACACGTACACAGAAAAAGAAGGAGACGAAAGGTATACTAAACACAATAAAAAAAAAAAACAAACAAATAAAAAAAAAGAGTAAAAAACGGGAGTGGCAAAGTGGGTGTGGCTACTAGCCAACCACACACCACCCTTCCACCCTTCCACCCTTAGAAGGGATAGACATCCCATTTTTATCCCTCTGGCTAGCGTGTTTATAAATCGTTATCCCTTATCCACCGAGGACTTATTTATAACGCAAAAGCTCGCCGCAACCGACGTTGGTCATGGCAAATTTACTTTTCCCGCGGCCCCAAAACTACTATCAAACCGTACCCCTTTTTACACCCCTCTTCCCCCCCCTGTTTTTACCCCTAATACTCCATACTACACATTCTGCCCCCACAGACCATTTTAGTAAGGGAAAATTTCATAAAAGCCAATTTTATAACTTTCTCGCTAAATTTTCCAACCTCTCTCAACACCCTAACTCCCAACCCCGTATTTTTCCTCACCTCCCCCACCATCTCATCTTTCGTTTCCCGTATAACCAGTTTCCTTGGTACATTTTACTTGGGAGTGGTAATGGTGGTAGGTAACTCCTCTACCGTTGTTTCAACGTAAGAGAAAATAAGGGAATGTAATACAGGGGAATATATATATATATTCCCCTGACGTAACCCTGACGCAACCTTGACGTAACCTCCTTGTACAATTTTATTATCGTCAACGACAAAAATGACTAGCCATTTTCTTTATCTTTTTTTTCTATATATAACGTTTTCAGTAAACTTGAATTGTTTTCGTTGGACGCATATAAGCGTCCATAGTATTCCAAAGGTTCACTAATTGTTTTAAATGATATTTTCCTTTTTCTTTTTGAAGTGAAAACTTCTTTAGAATGAGAGTGATCAGAAAAGTAAATAAACGGAAACGGAGCTATGTAACGAAGCTATGAAACGGTTGCCATACTAAACAATAAGAGAAAAAGAGACAAACATAGGATTTAGACTGCGAAAGAATGAGACGGAATATAGCTATACAGTTTTTCCTATTCTCGGTCTCCTCTTTATGCTATGCTTCGTAGTTATCACTCCTGGTTGTATATGTGTGTGTCTTTTCGGAAAACACCTCACTACTTTTCCGAAAAAACCTCACTACTTTTCAAAAAACACCTCACTATTTTTCGGAAAAAACCTCACTACTTTTCGGAGAAAACCTCACTGCTTTTCGGAAAGACCCTACGAACTTATCGGAAAAAACCTCACTACTTTTCGGAAAAAACCTCACTACTTTTCAGAAAAAACCTCACTACTTTTCGGAAAAAACCTCACTACTTTTCGGAAAAAACCTCACTACTTTTC